ACGAAAAAAGAGATACTTTCACCTTCGGCGAAGAATCGGATTGCCGATAGTTTTCCTGCTATTGGAGGATAATCGCCCCAACGACGAAAATCTTTGCAATTATATTTAATCGTAACTGTAACCATTGGAGAGATTTCTTTAGTTTTATTATTACGGAAAATTACGGAAATATTCAAATCGCCCGATTTATTTCAGAAGCACATTCTGCAAAACGTTTCGATGCAGTGATGGAAATCATCAACGCTCTTCTATTTCTTATCAATGAAAAGGATATTAATTTTAATTCTTCTCGATCATGGCAATAATAGTAGCTTTCTAATCCCAGGAATCTCTCTTAATTGCAACATTTTTTCAAATCGACGAATTTATTTTAAAAGCACATTCTGCAAAACGTCATTACTCGACTTATGTTCGATGCGGCAATTGTGAATTATTTTTTTATATATTTTCTTCTTAATGAAAGGATTTTTAATTTGAACTCTTCTCGATCCTGGTAATGACAGATGCTTTCAAATCCCAGGATTCTCTTCAAATTGCAGCATTTTTTCAAGTCGACGAATGTATTTCAAAAGCACATTCTGCAAAACATTGCCATTTCTCGAATTATGTTCAATTCATATATTGGAAATTACTTTTTACCTATTTATTCATTTATTAACGCTCTTCCATTTTTTTCTAATTAAAGAATTTTGTCTTGTCAATCGCTTCTCGATCCTGATGACGACAGATGACACCAAGTTCAATGAAATATCTTCGATCGTCAAGCTCAATTAACGATATCTTTTGCGCCGGTAATATTGGTCTTTTAATATGTCGACGCAGAATTTTGGAATTCACCTAATTCGGACATTCCGGATGCACTCTTGCTTGATTAACATCTCCCTTATCAGGAGGAGCAGGACTATCGGTAGAATTTTTCAAACTTTCCTCCTCTCGTGGGCGTCTTTCCTTTCCTTCGACGATAGAAAACACTGTGCCTTTCGAGTTCCCCGATTTCGAAAATCCTCCTTTTCGATTATCGCACACGAAAGTCTTCTCCTTGCCCAGCTCGATCCTTGTGGGGACTCTTTGCAGTTTCTGGAAGGACTCTTGAATTTTCTCCACTTCCCCAGTCTTCTGTTTTTTCGCAGCAGGACCTTCGTGATCAACCATGAGTCGTTTAAAGATGTCCACATTTTTCACCACGGATCTTTCGATTCCTGTCGAGGTCCTTCCGATAGTTTTCGAGCTGATCGGCCTCGGAATCTCGGACAGGATCCTTTTTTTCGCCTGCAAACTCGGCTGAGGGAAGGAACTCGTTCTTTTGGCGGTATCAACCAGTGGAGAAGTTTTCGAAAAATCCTCCGAAGCGTGTGGAACTTTTAATTTCTTCACAGGAGTCAAAGAATCCTGAATCCTGCCCGGATTCAGGTTCCTCGAGATCCTGGAGTCCTTTCTAGAATCCAAAGGATCAGAAATTCTGCTGACAATGGAGCTCTTCGAGTTCTTCTCCTTCTTCGCCGTGAATTTCCCAGTTTTCTCTCGTCCTGCTTCGAGGACCTCCTTCGATTTTTCCTCGACACTTTGAGCCTTCCTCGCAGGACCCTCTTTACCGAGGAAGGACCTAGGACTCGTAATAATCCTCCTCGCGGTTTGGCTCCTATTTGGTATCGAAGTCCTCATCTTTTGGTTCTCGATTGATTTTTCAGATCCTCGCTCCTCGTCCAAGAGTCCTGCCTTGAACAGCAGGTGATTAGGGCTAGTCCTTGCAGGACTCGAGATCCTCTCAGATCCTCTGGTGAGGCTTTTGGAAACGACCTTCTCTTCCCTTCGTTTTCGAATTTCTGCTCCAGGATTCGAAGCAGAATTGGCGCGGCTCCTCAAGATCTTCGAGTCTTCCCTGGACCTCTTCGGGACCTTCTCCTCGTCCTTGAGAACATCGAGGACCTTGTTCTTCATCCTTCTCTCTTTCCCATCCTTCCCCAAGTTCCCAGAACGCTGAGTCCTGGAGGATAAAGAAGATCCCTGCTTCCTGGGGCTCTCTTGAAGGATCCTCCCAACATCTTCGGGATCCTTTTCCCTCGCCGAAGGACATCCTTCCATTTTTACGTCACTTTCAACCCTTTTAGAATCCTTGACCAATTTTTCTCTGATATCAGAGCTAGTGTTAAGTACTTTCGTCCTTGCTCTAGTTCGAATTTCCTCGTATTTCAGGCTGACGTCGCTCCTTGTTGGGTCCTCTACCCCGTCGTCCTGTACCTCGGTGTCCTGAAACGTGACGATGGTCACCCCGGAACATATTGAGCTCCTCGAGGTCCTTTTTCTGAAGGTCATCCCGGATTTTGAGGTCTTCAGGGAATAATTAGAACCTGAAATCGAAGCCAACGAGATGGACGACCAGGAAGTTCCTCGAGGACCTTCGGGTCCTGTCCCGGAAATCGGCGATTCCACCTGATAATCCTCGCCGAAATTATTCAGATTATTCACAGAATTGGGAAAGGCGTTCTTCGTCCTTGACAAGGAATGACGACGGTCGTCGGATCTTCCCCAGGTGCCCCAAAAAGTCGAATTCGTCCTGGCTCCCTCGTTGAATCCTTGACTATAGTTCATTCTATTGTTGCTCCCCATCGCGATTCCTCCATTTATATTCCACGCGTTTTCTTTCGTCAAATTTCCTTGTCTCGATCTGGACCTTTCTTTGGAGCTTCTCGATTTTCCTCCATTTTCCTGAAATACATATAACGGAGATATTAATTTTCCGAATAAAACACTTTTGGTATGTAATGCTATATTAAAATTGTAAACTTTATGTCTTAATTGTGGGCTGATATGCACTCACGATTAATTTCGAGATAATTTCATAATTTCTTAGAGTAGTTGTAATTTTGAAAAATGAATACACTTGTGTGCTGGTGTTACCACATGGCGTGTCATCAATTTATAAAATGTGCTTTTAAAAGGGATAAATGAAATGTTGTGAAATTAGTTCACTCCTGGGTGCTATATAATTGCAATATCTGTTTTTAACGGTGTAATTCGGTATAGAGAAAGGTTTGAGGAAGTATTCAAAAAGAGACGCTTATAAAATATATAAACAAAATGTGAAATTGGAATACTTTTAGGTGTTATAAAACAACGATATCTTTTTTATAACGATGTAGTTCAATATTCAATAAGTATTCAGAAGGTAACGCTTACAAAATGTATAATTACAATATTGTGAAATTGAAATGTTTTCAAGTGTCATAAAATGACAATATATTCCTTTTTAACGATGTAGCCCAGTATTCAATAAGTAGTCGGAAATCAACGCTTACAGAATGATTAAATAAAATGTAAAATTGGAATACTTCTAGGTGTCATAAAATGATAATATCTGTTTTTAACGATATAATTCGACGTCTTTACGTTCTTTAACGGATTCGGGAAGTACTCGGAAAGCAATGCCATCAACTCACGTCGTTTTCGAATTTTTCCCCCCGAAAGTTTCCGGGACTTCGTCGGGCCCCGAAAACTTCCTCTTCGGCGGGCTTCGTCGCGGTTTCTCGAGCGACGATGAAACTTCGTCTAGATTCGGTTCCATTCAGAGATTTGGCGTCACATCCGGTGTCCTTTAATTCCACGATCCTGCTCTGCGTCGGATTTTCGGAGCCATTTGCATCCTCCACGAAGAAAAAGACCGGAGTCTCGCCGAGGGGATTCATCTTTTCCGCTTCCTCCTCGTCGACTTCCGGAAGACTCGAATTTAGGTTACCACGGGCGTTCGGTGAGGTTTTCCATCTTTCACAAGCATCGGACTGGATTTTCTGAAAATCATTATCAAGAGGTATTTAGATTGCCGGCTCTCAACCGTGCGGAATCGATTCTGCATATTAGTTACTTTTTGCGACGTTTATCAAGAATTTGGGACGCTGTACTCCGCCATCTTGGATTTCTTTGATTCCTTTGCACACCTTCGACGAGTGATTCGGCCTGCTCTCGTTTATATACGGATTTATATTCGCGTATGACTCATTTCAGAGCACCGATTATTCATGATGTATTTACAAAATTCAAAATTACCGCCTTTCGGTGCATCGTTTCCCTCTCGTGAGTTCAATCTATCATGGCGCCATCTTTGAGTCAAGACGAGACCAAGATTTCGCTGCTTTCTTGATATTTAGCCACTTCTGCAACTGTTGTACCGATAGAGTCGCGTGGTAACATAAGTTGGCGCGTCACGTTACCGACATTTATATTTATGTTGGTCTTTCACAGCTATGTTGAGAATCATACGAACTGAAGCGTTCCATGTGTCATTTCGGTCAATTAGTAATAAAAAGATCGATGTAAAACTGTCAAAATCCCATAAGTTCATGAATATTTATATTTTGATGGACCAATGTCGCCATCTGTGACGTTTAGCTGCAACTAAAATCTTGCTCTAAACACGTGTAGCCCCGAGACCTTAGACCATAAATATCTAGACCTTGCATAGCAGTAGAAGGGGTAAACTCCAATACCACATGGACCACGTGTGTCGACATGCTTAAGCTGAAAACCTTTTACACCATATTTTCAGACTAGGGATTTCGCATTTTTATTTAGAGGATACAAAATTAAGTGAATAAACTCTCGTGAGATAAAAATACGATAAGTGAGCAATGACTAAATCTCCATCGCACTCCTAAATCCGGGATTTATCGAGTCCCGATCCAGTAAATCGCATGTATCAATGACATTAATAAATACGCAAATTTGATCCTAAGTGTCTCGATCGATACTTAAATTTGAATGTACTGGGTTTAGATCCGATAAATCCCGGATTCGAATACGATAGACGTATTCACTCTTACTATAGGTAGAAAATCGATACCAGAGAAGAAACATATATACAGTTCTCAATATTGCCTGCAGATGTCACTGCTATATAGCCACGGACGTTTGCAGTAGGTGGAGCTCGTTAGTATTTTCTTACGTTCATGGTAGAACATAAATACGATAAATACTGATAAATACCACATGGCGGGAAAATTCTCGTAGCTGTTGCCGAATTTTAATGCGCGGCTTGTGCGATTCGTGGCAATAAATTGTCAAAGGAAAATGAATGATTAAGCATTAATAATATCCATACTATATCACGCTCCGAATTGTTAATAATTTCGTGTCTTCAAGATAAGATACGCCGTAATTATGGGAATTTTGGGCCTCTCCAAATTAATTGCCGACATCGCTCCTCATGCCATCAAAGAACAAGAACTAAAACATTATTTCGGTAATTTTATTATTCTTTTGCACACCTTCAATAGTCGCTACGTATTGACAATTATTTACCGCATCCCTTGATATTGACTCTGTTCTGAAGTATTATCTTTTGTTTTATTAAAGCGTAATGGAATATGTTACAGGTCGCAAAATAGCTATCGATGCTTCTATGTGTCTTTACCAATTTCTCATAGCAGTGCGGACCGAAGGGGCCCAACTTACCTCCGTTGATGGAGAAACTACAAGGTAGATTATTGAAATTATTGATATTTCTAATGTTTATGAAAAAGACGTAACGGTATTAACTGTGAATTAGATACAAAATACCTATAATCGACGATGTTCAATCAACAAGAGGTAACAATAATTGATTATCATTTTCAGTCATCTTATGGGAACATTTTATAGAACCATAAGATTAGTCGAGCAAGGTATAAAACCGGTCTATGTGTTTGATGGTAAACCACCAGACTTAAAAGGTGGTGAGTTAACGAAACGTGCAGAAAGGAGGGAGGAAGCGGAGAAACTTCTGCAAGCTGCTCAGGAAGCAGGTAATTGTTAATTCAATATTTGTATCTTTACTCTTTACCGAGGCAATGCCAAAGGAAAAAGATGAATTTCAGATTTTTCATTGCATGTAATACAGATTTTCAATGTTATCATTATAGGGAGTCCCAATTACAAAAACGACAAAAACATTTGAACCTAGAGGTTTTCGATAACATTGATTTTGAGTTTACGGCCAATTTAATTTTCCTGCTCCTTAATCTCATCTTAATAAAGTCTAGGAGCCCCTAAATTCACTTTACTCCAGAGTAATATAACTCATTATCGAGTTAGCGACTACATTCTTTTAGTCTATATGCCATTTTTAGTTGTAGTTTTTAATTGACCATAACGTTTTGTTTTGTTCTATTTAGGAAATATCGAAGATATGGATAAATTTAACAGGCGCTTGGTAAAGGTGACCAAGAACCATGCCGAGGAGGCAAAGCAATTATTGAAACTAATGGGGATCCCTTATGTTGATGTATGTCATCCTATTTCCTGGACATTTTTATTGAAAAATTACCGAAAGTTTTACTTGGTTTATACTAACTTATCTAACAGTCATAGTAAAGACATAATTCGATAAGTTTCACTTTTACTTATCGATTGTCATCTTGCTTTTGTATACAGAAAGATTAATCCACTTTGTCCTGCCTTTGTGTGCTACAAGACAGTTATTTCATTTAGGCTCCTTGCGAAGCAGAAGCTCAGTGTGCCGCTTTGGTGAAAGCAGGGAAAGTTTTCGCAACTGCTACGGAAGATATGGATGCCCTCACTTTCGGTTGCAACGTCTTACTTCGTCGTTTAACATTCAGCGAGGCCAGAAAAATGCCCATTCAAGAGTTCCATTATGACAAAGTTTTGTGCGACTTGAACTTAAATAAGGACGAAGTATGTATCAGTATGCACAATTTAAGGCGATATGAAAGAGCCTATATATTTGAGAGGTCAAATCGTTGCTGAAAGTATTCTCCGAACTGGGTGTACAAATTTGTTTCAAATCTTACCACGGGAATAAGGAGATTAAGAGGTTGAGGGTGTTACCACTTGAGTATTCAAAATAGCATTACCACTAAAAAGGGTATAGATGAATTTTAATTTATCGACCTCGATTTAATTTCTCAGCGCCTTTCATATCTTAACACTGTTCCTTGAAAATGGATTTTTGTATTAAAAAATGTTGTGATTCGTAGTTCATAGATCTTTGCATAATGTTGGGATGTGATTATACACACAGCATCAAAGGAATAGGGCCGAAAAGGGCCATGGAATTAATCCAGACCCATAGATCTCTCGAAAAGATTCTCGAAAATTTGGATAAAAAAAAGTTCCCAATACCCGAAGATTGGAATTACAAGCAAGCTAGACTGTTATTTCAAGAACCTGAAGTATTGAACCCTGATGAAGTCGAGGTAAATTAATTGATGGTCGAGATTTAAATTCCTTTCTTTTTTAAAACGTACACGTACATTTGCATATGTCATAGCTGAAATGGAATGAACCGGACGAAGAGGGACTGGTTAAATATTTGTGCGAGGATAAGCAGTTTAACGAGGACAGGGTCAGAAATGGAGCAAAAAAACTCTTGAAAGCCCGCAACACTTCGACTCAAGGTCGACTAGATTCGTTCTTCAAGGTATTGCCAAATCCAAACCCGAGTCCAAGTGCTGCAAAACGTAAGGTGAGAACAACGTATAAATAGAAACATTTTACGATCCAATATGCTACAACCGTCACGCTGAATTGAGGAATAGAAAGAATCAATGAGAACGGTAGAAAAAATGTATACCGCATTTTAAGGTGAAGTGAAACCTCCTTGCAATTAGTCGATTCGAATAAGACACTTTTTTTAAGGGTATTGGACCAAACTGTCCGAAACTTTGACGCGTGACTTGGGAGCACCTGAGCATCATCCTGACACTAAAAATTTGGATTTTCGAAGCATAATTTTTTACTTAGCCTAGACCAGAACGAAAGTGGCGTTGGGCTCTCATACTTCGATTGATATCCAATTATTGAAGACTCTGATATAAGAAACGAACGTGTTAGAACAATTGTACAACAATTTAGAACACTCTGGTAATCGATAAACTCGGATTTGAGCGGGATAAAGGCAAAAAAGTGTCTTATACGTTTCTATGCCAAAGGGATGGAAACATGAGGTGCTGGAGGGGAAATATAGTTGACACGGAAATCACAGATAGCGCAGGGTGGCACTTCAGTCAATTAGGGCATCAAAAACCATGAATTCAGGGAATTTTGGAGTTTTGCTTCAATTTGTTCAGAATTATTCTATGGAAACGACATGGAGTGTGCCATTTAGTACAGTACCCAATATAATTGTACACAGCTGTCGAAATAAATACGAACGTCGGCAACGTAGGTATTTAGAAGAATCCTTTTTGCCGACGTCGATCAAATTTCTCGACGTGTTTCACTTCACCTTAAGATGATGCACCAAAATGTACATAATGAAGTTACTATTTCCCGTGCACGGTTCATTAAAAGCAACACCCCTTTGTATCGTTTTGCAATGTAAATTATTTTTGAAATTTCGTTGTGCTCAAATGACAGGCCGACGAGAAGAAAGCACCAGCAAAGAAAGGGAAAGCTGGAGGTGGAGGCAAATTCCGTGGGAAAGCTAAGTGAATCAACTTCGAAATAATCAATAGGCGTGATTGTTAATTCACGTGATAGAAGTGTAAGTACCGCAGGTTCTCTCCAGTTATTGTATTTATTTGATAAAATAGACTCTATAGATTTGTAAAAACATATGGGAAAGCCAAGTGAATCAACTTTAAAATAATCATTAGACGTGATTGTTAATTCACGTGATAGAAGTGTAAGTACCGCAGGTTCTCTCCAGTTATTGTATTTATTTGATAAAATAGACTCTATAGATTTGTAAAAACATATGGGAAAGCCAAGTGAATCAACTTTAAAATAATCATTAGACGTGATTGTTAATTTACGTGATAGAAGTGTATGTACCGCGCGTTCTCTCCAGTCATTGTATTTATTTGATAAAATAGACTATAAAGATTTGTAAAAACATTTGTCCTTTTTAAGTAGCTGCGATAATGATATATTCGCTGTTAGCTCGCGGAATTGAATTTGGAAAGCGGTCACGGTCACTTTGCACATCCAAACGTCACAATACATGCGCAGCGTCTGTGAAAGCACGTAACCCAACAAAAGTTTCATTACAGTACATTCGTTCTTCTATAACTACAAACTGACAATAAACAGTTCAAGTAACAGTTGTAAATGGTAACTATTAACAATCCAGAGCACCTAAGTTGAATCGGGGATTTCATTTCAGATCTGTAAATCGTGGCACTTATTCGAGGCACTTGTACACATATCCAAATTACTGTAATTTCAGTAACCCTTAATATCAGTCTTAACCGGTCTTAACTCTCTTAACAATCTTTTCCTTGAAAAGAAATACTATTGATATTCAGTATTGACTATCCGACGTCGATTAAGGTGAAGCGAAACTACCTTTAAATCAGTCGATTCGAATAAGACACTTTTTTTAAAAGGTATTCGACCGAACCGTCTGAAACATTGACACTGTCAAAACTTGGATTTTTGAAAAAAAATTCTTAACTCAACCTAGACCAGAACCGAAATAGCGTCGAGCTGTTATATTTCAATCGTTATACAATTATTGAAGGCTCTGATATGAGAAACGAAAGTGTCAAGACAATGGTACAACAATTTAGAACATTCAAGTAATCGAGAAACTCGAATTTGAACGGGATAAAGCCAAAAAAAAGTGTCTTGTGCGCTTGTATGCTAAAACGATGATAATATGAGGTGTCGGAGTGAAAATTTAATTGACACGGAAATCACAGATGGCTCTACAGGCAATTATGACAAAAAAAACCATGAATCCAGGAAATTTCCAGAGTTTTACTTTGATTTCTTTATAAACATTGTACGGAAACGACGTATGGAAAATGCTATTTCATACAATTCGACACAGCTGTCGATATAAATACAAACGTTGGTAACGTAGGTATTTAGAAGGATCTTTTTTACCGACGTCGATCAAACTTTTCGACGTGTTTCACTTCACCTTAAACGTATGACGCAAATATTCTCTTTGCGCTATATACAAAAAGTGGGATATACTACGTAACGTGACCCGGCTCGTATGTTACAAAGATCAACATCTACAGGACACGTGTAAATGTCATTGGAATTTAATTACAGTACTTCCTATTGCACTTGGGTCTAGAACGTGTTGCAAAGCTCGTTCTATATTTTGAGGAGTGTATGCCCGATCCACAACGGTTTGCAATTGATCGGCTTCGACGAGTTCGGTAAGGGCTTGCAGGTACGCTGGGCTAATTTTCGCACCTTCCTTCCATTGACGAGTATTGCACCCAAAAAGGTACTGAAAACAAGAAAACACGTACTTAAAATAAGAAAACACGTACTTAAAATTTTCTAATGCCCTCGAAAAGTAAAAACGTATGTTTCTTTTGATTTCATTGAAATAAAATGCTAGATTGTTTTAAAGTTTCGCGATAAAATGCTGTATGAACCGTAGTAGTAGAAATTATTTCCGTTCGTGTACATTTTCTTGTTAAACAATTGCTAAGTACAACAATGCAATTTACATTACCTGCAGCAATAACTTAATCCTAACGTATCCTGAAAATATGCTCCCAAAGATAAATCCTAAAGAATCGGACGTCAGATTTTCAGGAACGGTAGACACGTAGGAACCGTAAGGCAGTAAATGTTTCTTCAGAGTACATTGCGTGTACAAATCTCCACCGGTATAAAAAATAGCGTTGAATCTGTCGGATGAAATAATTGAAATTAGTCTCCAATAAATCGCTTAATTTTATGTTCATAGCTTATATGCGGCAGTTACCTACTTGTCATAAAGTTCTAATTCCTTCTCGATATTGACGTCGTTTAGCGGGATAACTTCGTCTGCTCCTAAAGCTCTTATCACAGGAATGGCGTGAGGCTTGCAGGCCGAAACCACATGTCCACCCCATAATTTAACGAGTTGAATCAAAATGCAGCCGATGGGAGTGTTGCCTCCATATACTAAAACTCTGTCGACAATGTTCAAAATAATAGACTAGAGTTTCAAGGTGATAAGAAAGAGTCGGCCTATAAATATCTGGGAAGTCAAATCATTCGTGAAAGTATTTTCCGAATTGGGGGTACCGATTAGTTTCAAATTTTACCACTTGAATATGGGGGCCCTGAAGTAGGTCCTGAAACTCATGAAATTTCATTTTTCATCAAAAATGAATTTATTTATTACGGACTAGAACCAACATGGCGTGATCCTTGCACGTTTTCGGTGTTTTACGCTTCTTGGAGGCTTTGAATCGAAAATGAAGAGTTTCAGGACCTAGCTCGAACAATTTGCCATTTCTGAAACATTTCGTTACGTACGCCTAAACAAACGAACGAACGATCAGACAATACTACTGTAGTAAAGTTTAACTTTCAAAAATAATCTTTCATATCTCTTTTAATATATACATATGTACACCCGTTTCTCAATTTACGTGGAGTATCCGTTTTCACTTGAATTCATTTCACGCGAATGAAAATCGCGTTGCGTAGTCCGTCAGTACGGAATAAAAAATATTGGAAATAAAAACCGGGTAAATTGAGGGAGGAGTGTATATAGCTTCAACGAATTAAATATACCATTACATTTCCGTTTTGTCCTGTAACCTTTAATGGCCATTTTCTCTGCAAATTCGAAAAGAACATATTTCCGGAGGCAATGTCTTGATCATACTTTATCAAGAATTGTTGGCAATTTGAGTGACACAATGAAAAATTGTAAATTCACCTTTTTCCTTTGGCATTGCCTTCCTCGATGACGGATTTTTTTACCAAAGCATCCCATGCCAAGCACCCATTATATGCCAGACTTGCAGATGACTCAAAAGTGGCTAGTTTTGGTCTTTTAGCTACATGAGCTTCAGGAACGACTAAGTACTCCGACATAGTTCCAGGAGCCCAGGATGGAACAGCTAGGAAGACTTCATCGCCAACATCAAAATTTACAACGCCACGTCCAATGTCCACTACGATGCCAGCGCAGTCCCTTCCCAGGATAACTGGTAAGTCTTTGTGTCTCTAAACAAGATAACGGTAAGAATAATATGAGTCTGTTAATCATCAGGAGACTCGGTAGTGTTTCGCGCCAAATACATTTAAAAGCTTGCGCAAACGACACCACATACTTAAGGTGAAGTGAACCCCCCTCAAATAAGTCGATTTGAAAATTACCCCTTTTGTTTTTAAGGGTATACATTTAGTTGACACGGAAATCACAGATGGCGCAAGGGGTCCCTCTGCAGTCACTTAGGGTTTCAGAAACCACAAATCCAGAGAATTTCTGGAGTTCTACTTCGATTTCTTTATAATTATTGTACGAAAACAACAGGTGGAATATGCCATTTAATACAATACCCGATATAACTCGACACAGTTGTCGATATAAAAACGAGCGGCGACAATGTGGGTATTTAAAAGAATCTTTTTTACCAACGTCGATCAAGTTCCTCGATGTATTTCACTTCACCTTAACGCCAAAGTTGGGTAAAACTTTAACGAAGTGTCTCAAAAGGAGCCAAGAAACTTACGCCTGAGTTTAGAAGTCTTCGATAGGCTTTCGAGTAGCCTTGACAGATCTTGACATCAATTACGTTGACAGAAGTGGCTTTAACTTGGATCAGAAGTTCATCGGACCGTACAATTGTTGGTATTTCCTCGTCTTCGATCATGGCGACACCCTGATACAAATTATCACGTTTAGGATCGATTGCAATCAATAGTTTACCGTTGATGAACTAATTAACTAATCATGAATTAAGAAATTTTCGGTTGCAGTAACTTTGATTAGACGTAACAGAGGATTAAGAAACAATTGTTGTCTGACTAGCCAAATTCCTTCAATAAAGCTTTAATAGAGATTAAAATAGCATCGGAAATTGGCATTGCACATATTGTTTGCAGGGCATGAAGGAAATAACAACGTGAGATATAAATTAGATTATTGAAGGAAAGTAAAAAATTCGGTGTATTTTAAATAATGGGGTACCCTTCATTTGTAACAAGTAAATGTAAGTTCCAATACTTAGTATATACATATGAATATTATAAACATATTACTCATAAAACTTGGGAATATACTAAATCTTGTCAAAAATGTTTGCGTCAATCAGAACTACAAGGTTTCATTCGTCTAGCACAAAAACTTAATCTTACGTTTTTCCCTCGTTTTGATGTCGTGTATTGCGTACATAATTCATAATACGTTAATGAAGTTAGTTTGATAAATAGTATGTTATTTATGAAAACATTAGTCATTTTCTACCAATTAGAAAACAGCAGTTTAGGTATATGATATTCATCGGTTTATCTAATGTTAATTAATCTTTTTTTTAATATTTGTTGGTATAGCAGAGATTGAATTGCTATTAGTTGAGTATGATTAGTCAATCTTGAACAGTTTTTCGGCTGATCGGTCTATCGATTAACTGTGATTAGTTAATCTCAAAGTAGTGAAATTTGTTTTGCAGCGACAACTACTAAACTAATTAAAGATTAAAATTCGTTGTTAATTAATCATCTGAAATCGGGCGATTAACTCGAATCATGCATTAAATAATCTTTGAATAAGGATTTTAATTCGTATGTTGACGCAACTGGTCCTAAATTATTAAAAAATGTGTACAAGTTTTAATTATTTGAGGTGCTTACTTCTATGCCAATGTAATGATGGCATATAACAGCTTTCATGTGATGTACTCGAAGTGGCTTTTGTGGCCAGTGCGAACCAATACTGTATCCTATTAGGCCTCCTATTGACGATCCTACCAGGAAGTAAAATAATTCTCTTCGCTGCACTGAAATATGAACATCATTTAACATACTATTAACGGTCCATATCTTAATAAAATTAAATCAGAGTTGAGATAATTTAAATCATTTAATTAAAATCACGGTTTAAATCATCACACAGTGCCACACGGTGTGATCATAGTATTCACCCTGTCATGTCAAAAAGTGATACGGTAAGAAACCATAATGCATATTACAACTACTAATGTGTACTGCAATTCTATTATAATTGTAATGTTTATTTGCAAAGATAACGCTAATCAGTATTTGTTACATTTTTAAATCAGAAAAATGTCGCGCACGTAAAATCAACAAAATATTTGCAAACAAATGAACAATATATTAATACTTTACCGACCGGTGAATTTGGAAGTAAATGGCGATCATGGGTATCGCAAAACCGATTAATAAGCTTCCGGTTTGTAAAGTGTTAAACATAACTGAATTAATGTTTCAACAGAAATAATAATTTAGATGCTTTATGATTCCCCTGTTCATTTTTAATACTTGAATGTACAAGACCCCATTTAACGAAAACAATCTTTATAAATTTGCAGATAATGCTACAGTACACTAAATGGAAATAATCAGATTGTAGCTCGTATGTTCTTGATTCGTGGAAATAAATTACGATAGTTTGTGGGTAATATGGATTTAAACCAATCTTTTAAATCAGATACTTTTTTGGATAATTAACGTAATTTTAAAAATCATGATTTTAATTGCGATTCTTTTAAAAATAAAAATTTGTCGTATTTTTTAAAAGTAATTTCGTGTATCAACCCTGAGTGAAATACCTTCTTTTGTCAACAAGTTCGTTAGTTGTCTGTAAAAATCTTTGGGATTGAATTCCAAAGAATAATACTGAAACTGAAGTTGCTCCCATATTCTTTGAAGCCAATAGAGAGCGCCTAGCAATGATTCCTTTATTTGGACCCTTTGGAGTCCGTCGTAGAGTTCTCGAAGCAGCTGACAACATTGTTCCGACCATAACAAAATCCACCGATGCACTTGTTGGGTGGCTGCTGACGTTTGAACCTTATCGATAATATGCCTACACTCAAACTGAATACAAAAAAATATTACTTACAAACATGTGATTTCCTCACCGATACGAGACAAGCATTGTAACCGAAAATAGAATCGACGGGTCATTTCCAAGATATTTGTAATGATAGAGGCAAAATCATATATGACACTTCAAGGTTAACAAAATAAATTGTGTACCTGTAAATTATCGAAGTAACAAGATAGACGAAACCATACATCATCCATTGTTATTGCACTGATTTAATGTTTGGAAAATTTAATACATTTCTGACGAGGCTGACACTGAACGAGCTCAAATTGTACGGCCTACTAGCTGGAAAAGCAGCGCACAAGTGATATAAATATCCGATTAACACATTGCATAGTCCTCAAAATAGATATAATACGATGGTTTAATAACTTTCCGGCCTATGCGCGTCAGATGTATTTTTATTGTTCAGCCCTCTAGCCAGGTGAACAATTTTGATAGGTTAAGAAAGTTGGTTTAATTCAACATTTTGAAACTGCTATACCAGCTACTGCGGATCGTTTAATCGTGTTCGAGTGATCTACTTGTAAATCTGTGATGTAATAAGAATTCATCCAAAAAGGAATTAAGCAACCGAAATGTTACATGTAAGGACACTTGTCAAACGCCATCTGTTATTAAATCGGATAATTAAGGTAAGCACTATCAATACGGTAATTAATTGGTCGAAGGAAATCTATCACGAACCAATCACAATTTAACGTTGACTGCGTTTCTCCATCGTACTCGAAATCCGGGATTTATCAAGTCCAAACCCAGTAAATAACGTTTCCAATATGGCGGATGTCGCAGATGCACGATATATGTATCCGCTAGGTTATAAACGTCTTTTAGCGCATGTGTAAACACATAAACACAAACGGGATAGAGACTATAAAAGTGTTTTATGCGCTTCTATGCTAAAACAATGATATCGCGAGGTTTCGGAGAGAAAATTTAGTTGCCACTGAAATCACAGATGGCGCAGGATGTCACTCTAAACAGACTCCAGAAATCTAGGAGATTTCTGGAGTTTTACTTCGATTTCTTTATAATTATTGTGCGGAAACGACACATGGAGTATGCCATTTAGGACAATACCCAATATAATTCGACACAATTATCAATATAAATACGAATATCGGCAACGAAGGTACTTAAAAGAATCTTTTTTAAAAATTGGAACTACTTTCAAAGGGACGAAATCTTTGCGATCGGTAAAACAGGGTATACGTATGTACCGCGTCGTAATCAATCATTCGCGCATATCAACTTTATTTAGTATTCGTAGTCTTCTTTCCCAACCTACGTTGACCCTGATACTTCATTCTATCGATACTGTGCTGTATTTGAAATCTGCAGACGCGTTTTTCTTTACCGATCGGAACATTTCGCCCCTTTGAAAGCAATTCCATGTCGCTGAGGAGCCGTGTCTCCCTTTCGACAATGGCGTGAAACATATCCCCGCTTATTTCTGTATGCATGTGCATGTATGTATCTTTATGGCTTTATGTATGTAGCATGCATTATTATACGTATGTACGTTACTACACTGCGCTGTCTAGAAAGAAGATTCGCGAACCAGTCGCGTGTTATTTGGAAAAGTCGAAACGTTGCCAAGCGTTTCGGTTGCATCATCCAGTTCCAGTTGATTCCGCAATAATGCAGACTTGGTTGATTTCGCACAATACATCGATGGAATGTAATGGCCCATTTTTTACCTTCCAATCTATCGGGCAATTAAATTAGCGACGCAAGTGTAGCGTCTCTGACTCATTCCAATGTGTACCATAAACGGGGAAAATTCTGTATGAGCAGGTGCAGAACTTTCAGAAGAATTTCTTCATACGCACCCGCACCGTGTGACGCCTTTGAACTGGCTACTATTTTTTTTACAGATATTTCGGAAATATGGAACATGCAGTGATAAAAAATATCGACTGATTTGAGGGCAGTTTCGCTTTACCTTAAAGTGATATGAAAGGGTCAGCCTGTATATATCTGAGAAGACAAATCGTTGGGGAAAGTAGTCTCCGAATTGGATGTGCCGATTCGTTTCAAATTTTACCACAGGAATACGGGGGCCCTAAAGTAGGTCCTCAAACTCATGAAATTTCATTTTTCATCAAAAATGTATATATTTATCATGGACTAGAACCAACATGGTGTGATCCGTGCACGTTTCGATGTTTTACGCTTCTTGGAGGATTAGAATTGAAAATGAAGTGTTTCAGGTCCTAACCTCGAACAGTTTAGAATATCATTGAAATGGAATATTACAGGGTCAGATGGGAAAATGTGGAAAATACTTTCTCCAACAATTGCAAGAGAATGTTGACTTGGCTCGGGGCTAATCCGTGTTTTTGGAGCAAAAATTTAGTTGCAGCTAAACGTCACAGATGGCGACGTTGGTCCTATACAGTCGTTAGAATAACGAAAGGACGGGAGCTTTTGGTGCGTTAAATCCTCCGCGATAGGATAGGAAAAAGCACGATCTTGCTAGACACACCCCGTATATAAGTAGCTGCGCATCTTCATCCGGCAAGAGTCGACATTGCGAGGGGCACGGTTGCAAAACGACATGTAAATCCGACCAACGGTACTATTCTTTATGGCCTTGCGCTGCTAAAACAATCAAAGAAAATTCCCCTCCGTATTCCAAAGAGGAATTTTGCAGCAAGTTCTACCTCCGCTTAATTTTTAACGTTTTCCCGCCATCCCTGAAAAATAGTAATATTTCCTTAAAATGCAGGCTTCCACTTTTTACGGAATTTATATGGAGTTACTGTTAAAACGATATGAAAGGCGCTGAGAAATTTAATCAACGTCGATAAAATAAAATTCATCTATACCTTTTGTTGGTGGGAATGCCGTTTTGAATGTTCAAGTGGGAACATTAGCTGGCGCGTCCCGTTACCGACATTTATATTTATGTTGAAGTCTTTTACAGTCTACGTTGAGAAGCGTGTCATATGTCATTTCGGTTAAGTAATGATAGAAAAATCGACGTAAAACCGTCGAAGTCTCGGGAATTCATGAGTGTTTATATTTTGACGGACCAACGTCGCCATCTGTGACGTTTAGCTGCGACTAAATTTTGGCTCCAAAAATACGCGTTAGCCCCGAGACGAGCCAGCGTTCTCTTGCAATCGTTGCTGAAAGTATTTTCCATATTTTCCCATCTGACTCTGTAATATTCCATTTCTACGGTATCCTAAATTGTTCGCGCTAGGTCCTGAAACTTTTTATTTTCGATTTTAAGCCTCCAAGAGGCGTAAAACAACGAAAACGTGCCCGGACTAGTCTATGATAAATATATAATTTTTGTATGAAAACTGAAATTTCATGAGTTTCAGGATCTACTTTAGGGCCTTCACGTTCCCGTGGTCGACTTTGAAACGTATCCCTCAATTCGTCTTCTCATATACATATTTATTGACCCTTTCAAATCACCATAATGTCTCACTCCTGCTTGCCATTATTCTTTTTTCCTTTTATTTCTGACTGAAATATTTATTTATAAGTGATGTATACTTTGACCTTTATACCTTACACCCCGCCATCTTTGTCGTGTAGTTTACTAGGTATTTTACTTGAATTTTACGTAAAATACTTCCCGTAAGTATTACCAAAGAATTCAGAAGTCTCCCTAGGATCCCAGAAGGATACGGATGCTGGATAAATAGTATGTTAGCCAACGGATGGCGGCGCTGTAAACATCTCTCCAACTCTCTTACTCTAATGGCGATACATAGGGAATTTAATTCTTTCTTTATCTTACCCACAATACTCGCCTTCCCGTATGTGAGATACCTTTGGCTAACACATGCGACCTCTCTTTTACCTCCACTTCAGGTCTGTTAGCCAACTTTAAAAGCATCAAGCGCTAACATAGGATCTGGGCTTCCATGGGACCTCTGAATTCTCTGGTATTATGACGCGTCACCGCGCAACCCTGCTGGTGAGCTCCCTCGCGCAGCGGACGCCGCGCCGGGTGGACCGGCGGCGCGAACGGCGCGAACGGCGCGTTCTGATTGGTCGAGAGCCGGCCGGCCGATCGCTTATAGCGACCGTGACGGACCTTCGGCCCCAGAACCGCTCCGAACGTTGCCGGGTTCGCTAAGAGTCGGCGTGCAGTGCGTGACCTTGATCGACACTCAGTTCCGCTAAGAATTTACGTTCCTTTGCGAAGCTCTACGTTTCTTCCCCGAAGAAGCTGCAAGATGAAAGTCGTCTTCGGAGTCGCCCTCGCCGTCGTCTTCCTGGCCGCGACGGCGCACGCTTTTCCAGGTATCGAATTTCGTGGGGGGGAATTTCCACGTTAATGCCGTTTCGGTATGTTAACCCTTTTAGTGCCGAAGAACGATATATATCGTCGTTTTACAAGTACTAACGACTTCGGCCGGCATTAAAAGGGTTAAGACGACGGGAACTTATTCCTCAACCTAATCTGTTAACTTATTAAGGCGATACGAAAATGACGTCAAAGAGGTCTCGTTTATGAATCTTTTCATGGAACTGGGTGCACCGAATCGTTTCATACTTGAAAATATGAACATGAAAGCTATGAGGAAGGTCCTGACTCTCATGAAATTTCAATCTTTTAACAATTTGTTTATAGATATTTTCAAAATTTTTGATAAAAACTGAAATTGTATGAGGGTCAGGACTTTCCTTATAGTCTCCATGTTTACATTATAAAGTTTGAGCCAATTCAGTACATCCAGTTTGGAGAAAAGTTTTATAAACGATTGGCTCCTCAGATGCCGCTTCCACATCCCCTTAACATCTTTACAATTAAAATATATTCACTGTGAAGTTACTTTCACACTTTGTGAAATATTGAATATGAAGTACATTGTTTCCCATCATCGAGGTAACTTTATCCGCAAAACAGATTTCATTGAATAAATAACATTTTTTTTTTTGCTCAATTATAGAATATGGTTACTAAATAGACAACCAAATATTTGGTTCATATGAAACCACAGTTAAAGCGTCAAAATTGAAAGTGCTAAAGTGTCGTACTTGGAATGTTTATTAGTCTTACTTAAATATATTCATCCGTGTCCAGGTGCAAGATATCTCAAGTGCCCTTGCAAGTTGTATGGATATGTACATCTGAATATTCAAGTATCGAGTGATATGCAATAACTATAAATACGAAGCAGCATATTTTTGCATATAAAAATATGACATGAAGTGCATTAACGTAAATTACCGTGCAGCGTTTGAGAAACGGAATTTAAAACGTGGACGTGCTGGATTTTTAGTGTAATGGTATCTTTTATTATTATTATTCGTGTAAATGTGAATTAATTTTGATAGAAGATTCGATGTGTTTAAAAATTCGGGACGTTACTCAGTGAAAATGTAAATGTCTCCGTTTAAGGAATTTCTTATGCAATTTCTTATATTGCGAAACCATAATCATCTCCTCTGTAACATAAAACACCGTGAAGATGGAATACTCGTGGAAATAAGATAAAACATTTATAACGTGCCTTTTAGGGAACCGAAGGGCGCATTATAGAGATAGCGAGAGATAAAATATCTATAATGCTGGAACGCGTTTCATAGAGCCCCATTATTATATATGTATATGTATTATATATGTATATCTGATTTTCTAAGGGTCAATAAAAAATCACGATTTCCTCAAAATGGAATACCGCGACTTATATGTATGCGTGTAAACAAGTTCAAACTCTTCATTTTTTATTCTAAGTCTCCAAAAAGCGTAAAACATTGAAAACGTGTCCGGACCACGCCATGTTGGTTCTGGTCCATGATAAGTAAACAAATTTTGTATGAAAAATGAATTTTCATGAGTTTGAGGAGTTTAGCGCCTCCATATTCACGTGGTAAAATTTGAAACGATTTGGTATATCCAATTCAGAGAATACTTTCCCCAACGATTTGACTTCTCAGATATACATATAGGCTAACTCTATCATGTCACCTTACGGGGTCATAGGCGAAATTCAAGAATTTTTTGTTTCACAACTATAATACATTATTTAATTGAAAACAGAGCGTGATTTCATAGTATAATCATTAAACTTAATATATCATTTTTTTTGTCAAGATAGATTTAAAAATTGGCGAGGTACAGCAACTCTGTGAAAGTTTTTTTTTTGCGGTGACCACGATATCTCAAAAAATATTTCACCGATCGGCTTCAAATTTTCAGGGCTCATTCTACACACGGAGGATTGCTGAATGAACGGAGGATTTTTTTTCCTATGTAAACTTGCTGTTTTATTAAGGAAAAACGAAAATGTTATAAGACGGAAAAAGTGATTTTTCAGGAAAAGCCCTGCTATTTTAGTAAAAATCGGGATATCGAAAAATCCTTCGTTTGTTCGGCGGTCCTCCATGTCTAGAATGAGCCCTAAAAATTTGAGGCCGAGCGGTGAAATACTTTTTGAGATATCGTTCGTACTGCTTTCGATTAAAAAATGCATTGCTTATAAAAAAAAATTCTTGAAACTCACCTATGACAACTGCATATAACAACTTAAGGGAAGACGCGTCCCCCTCGACTTTGACCGCAATTGCTTAAGGTGATATGAAACTGTGATATGTACATAACAAAAAGTCAAAATATTGATAAAACTTTTCTCCAAACTGGGTGCACCGAATTATCTGAAACTTTAACACGTGATTATGGAGGCTCTAAAGAAGAACGCGCTGCTCGTGAAATTTCATTTTTCGACAAAAATATTGCATTCATCTCGTACGAGAACCAAAAAAGGATTTTTTTTTCGAAGAATGAAATTTCACGGGCAGCGCGTTCTTCCTTAGAGCCTCCATAATCACGTGTTAAAGTTTTAAATAATTTGGTGCACCTAGTTTGGATAAAAGACTTATAAATATTTTGACTTTTTGGTATGTATACCTGTATCGCGCTTTCATATCACCTTAAACCCATAAAAGGAGCATGGTTACCCGGGGATTTATGCTCCCTTGTTCCCTTATATAATTTATTCCGATATTACGAGCTTAACCGGCGGAAGAAACGCCGCGGAAAATTACGTGGCCGAGAACCTACCTCGGCGTCCTTCTTTACGATGCAGAGGAGAATTTTCTTCGCCTCTTTTTTTGGCGCGAGGCCATAACGAATAATACCGTTGGACGGATTTACATGTCATTTTGTAGCATCGCTCGTCGGGATGCCGACATCTTCTGGTTGTCCAAGTTATTCATCCACGGGCGAATATTTTTCAAAATGCAGGACCATATTTTTCGGAAACATTTCCATGCTGCAGATTCATGACACGGAAAGAAAATATTTGGTTCATTGGACGAAATCGATCGATTGATTGCTTGTTGTTAATTTTGGAAAGCGTTTTATGTGGGTTCACGTGAACAAACTCGTTTGCTTCGATCAACTGAAATGTTTTGTCAGTCTTAAAAAATGCTTTAATCGGTAAAGCAAATATTTTGGTTAAATGTATCAAATTACTTGAATATTTGCCGTGGCCTGGAATAGTATTGGGTGTAATCAATCGAACGTTCATAATTAAAGAATTTTCTCGTGTTAACTAAATATTTGGTTGTTCGTGTAATAATCATATGGGGTGGTTGGATCAACAATAATATCAGTTATTCGAGCAAGTACTTTTTTTGTGTGCTGCCGTTCTTTGGGAAAGACTGCAGTTTTAAGATATCTGTTCGAAATACCCCTAGTAGCACAAAATATTTCTCCTATATTGTCTAGATATTTAAAGAATATCGTACATTTTGTAAATATTTAGCAGACATGTGAAATATTTGCAAATCGTTTACTTTAGAATATAAGCTTCATAATATTTGTGAATTATTAACTGCNTTTATAAATTATTGAAACTAAATATGTCATTGAGATTTTTAAGAAATATTTTAGATATCTTCTACATGAAATCTACGAGACATTTTAAAAAATCTGTCGCTTGAGATATTTAGCAAAGATTACAAAGAAATATTTAGAAATTATTCTATGCTACTAGGGACAGTACACGTGGGGTCGTAGTTCCATTAAGGGGATGTGAAAGTGGCATCCGAGGGCTCAATCGTTTAAGAAACATTTCTCCGAACTGAGTGTACCAAATCGTTTGAAACACCACAATGTGAATATACAGGCTATAAGGAAGGTCCTGACCCACATGAAATTTCATTTTTTATAACGAATTAAAAAACTGTCTATGATCGAATTTTGAAAAAATTGAAATTTCCTGAGTTTCAGGACCTTCCTTACACCCTCCGTATTTATATTGCAAAGTCTGCATCGATTCGGTACATCCAGTTCAGAGGAAAGTTTCATAAGCGAGATTTCTTTGACACGATGTAGACATAACAAAAATTGAAAATATTTATAAAACTTATTTCCTAACTTGGTGCACCGAATTATCTGAAACTTTAACACGTGATTGTGGAGGCCCTAAGGAATAACGCACTGTTCATGAAATTCCTTTTTTCGACAAAATTTGTATACTTATCTCGAACAAGAACCAAAGAAGGATATTTTTTGTCGAAAAACGTAATTTCACGGGCAGCACGTTCTTCCTTCGAGTCTGCATAATCACGTGTCAAAGTTTCAGATAATTCGGTGCGCCCAGTTTGGAGAAAAGTTTAATAAATATTTTGACTTTTTGGTGCGTATATGTCACACTTACATATCACCTTAAGTTTGAACAATTCCTCTTCGAATCCTTTCCGGCGAAGTTCCGGAAGTGGATCGTGTCCACTTCGCGCTTGACACTTCATTTTTTTTCTTTTTTTTTTTATTCTTTCATCGAAGCGAACGTTGACCCGACATTCGTAGAATTTTTCTCGCAACGAATGCGAATTCTCGCGAGCCGTTCTGCCAAATGTACAGCACACTCTGTACGAGCTGACCCTACTTTTTTGCAACGGGGCGAAAACAGATTATGCCTCTTGAGCAACGTCCCCGGCGATTGCGAGTCGTCGTTTCGACTCGTTACTTGCGAGCGAAAGAGACGGCCGAGGAGGGTACTTGTTAACCATAAGTGCAAATGAAACATCGCATTCCTAATGCTACGAGAAAACGACCGGCGGTTAGCGATTTCCTCCCGTATCTTCGCCTCTGCGCAAAAGAAATATTGCATACTTTTCCTCGAGTCGTTTCGTTTACTCTTCGTTCCTAGAGTACCTTAAGGTGATATGAAAGTCTTATATCTTATCTTATACGTACCAAAAAGTGAAAACATTCATAAAACTTTTCTCCAAACTGGGTGCATCGAATTATCTAAAACTTTAACTTGTGAATATGGAGGCTCTAAGGAAGA